TTCATAGGAGAAAATGGAAAGTCACCAGGTTGTGGCTAAGCATACAGCTTGAACGTAAACACGTCTGTATGTAGTGCTTTGCATGAGGCTGCCTTTTCATCCACATGAGAAAGGTACCAATGGTAAGCTGGAATTTCTAGGAGTTCTACTTTATTTTCTGTGTCCACCAGGGGCTTATTCTCTTTCTAAAACTGGAGCTCCTTCTGCCATCCGTACTCTGCTCAGTTGTTACCAAGCCTATTTAGATGAAATGAGATCTCTTTGCCCTTGACAGCTTTATATAGGCAGAGTTCATTCAAAGTCTTTGATTCTGATTCGTATTTGTACAAATACCTAAGTAGCAAGAAAAATATGTGTCTTGAGTCATACAGTGCCCTGTATCCAACTCTCTTCTTACCACTGCTTCCCTTCTCTCCTCATTTGTGTCCCCCTGCGTTCGGATTCCACCCTGAGGGTCTTCCTCTCTGCAGTCTACCCCACAGTTTATCCTCATCCTGTACTCCAGTTGTTCCACTTCACTGTCAATCCAGATGAGCTAAGCCTATCTCCCTCTAACCTGTTCAGCCCAGCCCCAACCTGGCCTCCCCTCCATCCCTGGTCTCTGTTTTGGGTCCTCCCTGCTGTCCAGCCTTTTGGTATCATGGACTGCATTACTTCTATGCTATAGCAGAACTAAGTTGGAACCAGACTATAAGGGAGAAGGAAAAACATCCCTAAGTGAGTGATAAGTGTTTACATTAAAACCACCAGACTCTTGCTTTGGGCAGCAGAGTCCTGCTTTCACATAGATACTGACCCATCCCCAAAAGATAAATTTCCTATTTTTTGCCATAACCTAAAACTCTTCTTGAGATGCTTACCAGCGACAGTACTATAATCTACTAAGAGAGAATTTGTTGGGTTATGCAGGTTTTATGTTTCTTGATTAAGGTTGTTTATATGGGTTCAGTAAAGGTAATGTAGACTTTCAAAAAAATTTCTTAACATTTAGAAATATTTGGGGCACCTGGGTGGCTAAGTGGGTTAAAGCCTCTGCCTTCGGCTCAGGTCATGGACCCAGGGTCCTCGGATTGAGCCCCACATTGGGCTCTCTGCTTAGCAGGGAGCCTGCTTCCACCTCTCTCTCTCTCTCTCTACCTGCCTCTCTGCCTAGTTGTGATCTCTGTCTGTCAAATAAATAAATAAATCTTTAAAAAAATTTTTTAGAAATATTTGAGGGGGTAGCATGGTATCTCATTTACGAGTACAGACAGGATTTGAATCCTGGCTATCTTGCCGATCTACATTCTGAGCACTAGTTTTCTCTACACCATAGCTTTTTCATACCTCAGATGGAAATAATAGCTCCTACCTCAGAGAACAGTTGCATAGATTAAATAATGTATATAAAGTGCATAGATATAGCAAATGTTCTATAAAAGATAGAAGTTAATGCCATATCAAGGCTCAGGGAAGAGAGGGAATTATTTATATCATATTTTTCCTGCCCTAGGGAGTCCAAAGATTTAGTTACGATTCTTTCTAGGAAAAAAACCTGGAGGGGATAAAAATAAATTAATATAAATGGAGGGTCTAAGGCCATACAGTGCTATCAAATAGGCAGTATTATCTTCCTTTTACAAATTAAAAAAAATGAGGTAGGGAGAGGATTCTAGAATGCCCACTCTTAACTCACAAGTATGTAAGATTTATTCCTCTTGAAGTCCTCAAAGTTGACAAGTTGGGCACTAAAAATGGAAATAAAATACTTGCTGCATAGCTTTTTCTATTATGTTTTAAAGTAACAGTGAGCTATAATTCACATACCATAGAAGACATTCTTTTAAAGTGTAGAATTCAGTGATTTGAGTATATTCACAAAGTTGTGCAACCATCACTACTAGTTCCATGTTTTCACTACCCCCAAAAAAGGCCCCCATGTCCGTTGGCAGTAATTCTCATTCCTCCTTCCTCCCAGCCCCGGGTAACTACTAATCTGCCTTCTATCTCTATGACTATACCTATGCTAGGTATTTCGTATAAATGGAATCAAACAATATGTGGTTTTCTGTGTCTGGCTCCTTTTACAGGTTTTCAAGGTTCATCCACGTTGTACTACTTATCAGTACCTCATTTCTTTCTATACCTAAATATTCCATTGTATAGGTATGCCGGATTTTACCCATTCACCAGTTGATGAACGTTTGGGCTTTTTCTACATTTGTCTATTATGAAAAATGCTGCTGTGATATTCATGTACAAGTTTTTATGTGGACATGTGTTTTCATTTCTCCTAGGTATTTCGCTAGGAGTGGAAGTCCTGGGCCGTATGCAACTCTGTTTAACCTGTTGATGAATTGCCAGGCTGTTTTCCAAAGCGGTGCACCATTTTCCCAAAACCGAGGTACAAGATTTATTTTCTTGAGCCTCTATTGTTTGTTAATCTACTTGTCTATTATTCACCAATACCATACTGTCTTTATTACTTTAATTTCATAGTAAGTTCTGAAGTCGGGTGTGGCCAGCCTCCAACTTTGTTCTTCAGTATTTTTTTGGCTCTTCTGGGTCTCTTGCCATTCCATATAGAGTGAGTTTGTTGGTAGCCACAAAAGTTGTTGGGATTTTGATTGATTGGGATTATGTTCAATCTGTAGATCAAGGGGAAAAAAACTGACATTTTGAGAATATTGAGTCTTCTTATCCACAAACATGGAATATCTCTCTATTTATTTAGATCTTTGATTTCTTTCATCAGAGTTTTATAAAGTTTTCCTCATATAGCTCTTGTACATGTTATATTTATATACATATATATATAATATATATATTACATATATATAAATACTTCAGTATTTCTTTTGCCTTTTTGGGTGCTGATAATAAATAGTGTTATGTTTTTAATTTCAAATTTCAGTTGTCCATTGCTGATATACGAGAAAGCAATTTACTTATTTATATTAATCTTGCATTCTACAACCTTGATGTAACTTCTTACAAGTTCTATGAGTTTTTTGTTGGAAGCATGTTAATGTTCTATATTTTTTAAAAAATGAAGAATGAAAAGGAAAAAAATCTTTAAAATTGTAAGCAACTGGCTGGCTTGGTTGGTAAAGCATGTGATTCTTGAACTTGGGTTCATGAATTCAAGCCCCATGTTGGGTATAGAGCTTACTTATTAAATAAATAAATAAATGTTTATTATTAAGAAAAAAACCTATTAGAAACTGGAAAGTGAACCCAGTTGTATTGTGAATGAGTGACATAACCATACAGGAGGATAAAAAAGAAACTGATCTAAGTAACTGCTAAATGTGTGACCTGACTGTATTCCCTTAGTTGGGGGTGGGGTGGCAGGGAGCAACTGCAAACAAAAATCTGAACTCTTCTTAGGTTTGTTTATTGAAGTTTTATGAATGAAGCAGTATGAAATTATTTGGGGTATATGGTAGAATTGAGTAAGTATGTTGATGTTGGGAGCCAGAGTTCTCCCTGTGGAAGAAGACACATACAGATATAGAATAGGTCAAAAGCAAGGGGAAAAGGCCCCTATGGGAGTGCACTGGAATTGGAAATAGCAGCATAACCCCATGATGTCTTACACATCCTGTACACACACTTGTGTGTATGCTTATATACATATATATCCCCAATTCTGTTGGCTGAGATGGCCTAGACACAAACATACCCTAGTGATCACATCTGGCATCCAGATTTTGGTTTCTAATATAGTTCCTCAACTAAAAGGAATCTGATTCCTTGGACAAATAGCTGGTTCCAGAAAGCGTACAAGATGAGCCTCGAACAATGTTATGCCAGAAACTGAAGTGCAAACACACACACACTAAAAAACCAATTAGGGCATGTCAAAAGGACACAGGAGCCAACTTGAGGAGCTCCAGATGACCAAATCTGGGGTGATTTGAGCATTAAGATAATTAAGAATGGTAATAAATCATGAAATATTGAAAAACAGGAGTTCTTTTGCCATGAAAGAGACAGGCCAAAGAACTGTACTAGCTTAAAGGACTGAAGAAGCATGTTAACTACAAGCAAGATGCACTCCTGCACTGGATCTGTGCTGAAGGAAGAAATTTCCACAAAGGACATCACTGGGTCATTTGACAAAATTCGAATACAGATGGTAGAACACGGCATTTTACCACTGTTAATTTTCCCAAATTTGTAACTCTCCTGTGGCTATTTAATGGAATCTTCTTGGTTTTAGAAAGTGCACTTCGAATTACTTAGGGATAGTGAAGCATGATATGTGACGCTTACTCTCAAATGGAGGAAAACAATTTGTATATATTACATTTGGGGGGGGGGGCGGCTACATACACTACCTCAGTGTGGATGCAAATGACCAAACAAATAGGGGGAGGTTCACGATGGGTGAATCTGGGTAAAGAGTATTTCTTTATACTCTTTATACAGTGTTTCTTTATACTATCCTTGCAGCTTTTCTGTCAGCTTGGATTTATTCCAAATAAAAGATTTTTTAAAGGTTGGTGTTTGGCATGCACAAAAAATTAAGAATAATAGAGCAGGCTTCTGAAAGCAGAAGGTATGATAATGTCAGATATTCTGAAGGACTGCCATGTAGAAGGATTAAGACTTTGAATTTAGCTAATCTTATTTTATATCGGCCTGCTTTGTGTAATACCATTACAGCACATTCAAGGGTTCAGGGCTGGAATGAGAGGTAGTTCTTTAAGCTTTATGGAGTCTTCAGTATTATTCCGTACAGAGAGGCACAAAGTCCCATGATTCTAAGTGTTCATCAGGAGGAGTGAATGAGTGAAAGGGATTAGGTGTAGAACAGGAACCAGTGGGAACTTGTGAGCAGTGTCTTCTCTATAGGCTTCCAGATACAATTAAAGACAAAAAACAAACTCTGTATAGCAATCTTGTTGGCTGTGTCTGGCCTGGGAGTGGCCAGCTATTACCCCTAATCTTACCTAATCCATTTTTTTTTTCCAGGTGAGCAAACGGGTACCAAAAGTCATGAAGCAAGTGTGTAAGATAAAGAAAGGTGTAAATGTGTGCATATATATCAAAACACACCATTTTTAATGAAAGAAATTAATATCCGCACATGTGTACTTCTGTACAATTTTGGGTAATATATAATTTTAAGCTGTTTACAAATAACATGTAATGCTTCAAATATTACATAATGTTGATAATACATTTCTAGCAGAAATAAATATATTGCACTTAAAAAGAACTTCATTAGATGTTACTTCATAGTATTAAGCTTATAACTTCTTTTTTCATAAAACATTTCCCCTGCCCTTCCCCCCACCCCCAACACACACACTTCATCACAGTGACTGTTCTCACGCAATTCCTTAAGCAAATGAACACAGCAAACGACAGAACTGTGATAGAGTCTACTAAAGAGGCTATATCCAATTTTATACTTCAGGAAATAAAAGACATTCTTTCATGTTTCTGAAAATAAGAAAAAAATGAATACACATTTTAATGTATCAGAAGTAAAATACAACAAATTGTATTTTTTGTCCAGATGTATTGTTTTACCAATGTTTTTATTTTCTTATTATCAGGGGAAGGGATTAGAATTGAGGGAGGGACAGAGAAAGAAGGGCCAGAAAATACTTAAGGATTATTTGCCTATTAAATATTTATAAATGAACCGTTGCGTATTTAAGCATGCTGAAGAAAGATAAATATTAGAATATTTTATAACTGGCATGGAATATTAGGGAAGAAATTATTTTATGGTTTTCTAAAGTTTTAAGAATCTGTAACCTTCCCTTTGCTTACTTACAGAAAATCCTTGCATTCTGAAATAATATAAAAACATGTAAAATCCATTCTTCCACCCAAGCTGTCTAAAGGAGTCAGCTGAAAATCTTTTCTATGTCCACTGCTTGCTTTCTTTCTAGTCTAGACTAGGGTATAATAGCTTTGTTTTTAATGATTATCAATTCCATACATGTTTATTAATGTAAAGTTTCCTTACTTAGTGGAAGACTGAATAAAAATATTGTTTTTCTTGCAATATGTGACCCTGCACATTACATAACTGAGTTTTTGGAACTTTAGTTGCTGAGTCATGGCTAAGTTTGACTGCTTATTTAATGGGGTGATAAAGTTATCCTATCCATTTTATTTGAAGCTTATTTTTCTCAATAGAATTCAGCTTAAATATTAGTAAGACGGGCTGAAGAGCTAACATAAAATTTAGAAATGGGTTAAATACCCTAACCTCTCTCTGAAAAATCCATAGGCAGTATGGGAATAGGGATCCTTTTCTTCCAAAGCTATTTTTTCTTGGGCATTTGGAGGATGTCTTTTTTCTTTTTTTGCATGAGGGGCTAGAGATGTTGTGGCTGGAGAAGTGTAGTAACAGATGTGGATGAGAGTGGGAGAGGGGAGATCTTGGAATACCCCAGAAGTTAATGTAACTTCTATAATATGACTCTACACAGGGTTTTTCTTAGTATCTTTTTAATACCTCCCATTCAGTGCCATCTACTAGGAATAACAACAAACCTTTGTTAGAAACTCAAAAGGACTCGTAGTGCAACCTAAATTCATTAATATAGAACTTGTAACCTAATAATTTATTATATATTAGACACCAGATGGATATATTTAACAACCTATGTACTGCTAAGAGTGGACAGAGGAGGGGGAAGACTTGGAAAAGTAGTAAAAGAAATAACTGAACTTACTCAGCATTATTGATACATGTTTTAAAAATAAATCAGGTCTGCAGAACCTACTAAGATATGAATTAATCCCTTCAGGTTAGATAAAGCAGTTCTGGAAGGGCCTCATTTTAGCAGCACTGCACATTAGCCATGCATTTTGATACTGTAATAAAACTTGGGGGAAACCCTGGATTTATTCCAAATATACTATAACTCATGCTCTGAATTATTCAATTGGCTTTCCCACTATCTAGTTCTTGCAATTACTTTTGGTAGGATAGATTTTAGACTTTAAAATCTTAAATACCCAAAGAGTTAAAGAATCAACAACTAGAATAGCTTAGAAAGACCCCGGTTGGAGTAAACTTCTACCCTTGGTTCTCATGGCTAGGATGACTTTGATCAGTTTAAGCTCCATTGTACCTTGTGCTTTTTATTTCTGGTTCAAATAATGCCAGATACTTCAAGAATACATCCAATTTAGAATTTCAGGTGTTATTTCCAAAGAGCATGCTTTGGTATCCTAGTTTTTGCTTTTCTCTAAGCGCTCTACTTATTTTTAGCCTTATATTGCTTAATTACAATATCAAGTTATGAAGTCAGGAAATACTGGCGTAAAACCATATTTAGCAAAAACATACAATCCTACTTTAAGATCTGTCAATTGGGAAAAATGTCTAAGTGGTATTGAACTGATCTTGTCATTCTCATCAGAAGGATTCACTTTAGTAGACCAGCAATTTACCAGAGTATTGAGTAGCATCATGTTAAATAGCATCTAGTTTTGTTATTCCTGCCATAAGCAGCAGTACTGTGTATTGAAAGGAGCACTTGGCAATAGGCCAACTATTAAGTGTCAAATCCCTATCCTAATCTGTATGGTTATTTAAACATTACTCAGAGCTGCTTTTTTAAGGAAATGCATTATCTATGCTGTGTTTGAAAACAAACTACCTGTGGATACTGTAGCATAACATGCAAGAAGTTAGAAATTAGCCTATGATGTCTGCATAGGACCTGGAGATGCTTGGCTGGCACAGCCCATGCTTCTCCATAAGTAAACTGTGGGACATAGTGGAGAAAAACAATTGACAAGTCCAGCAACAATGGCATCACATAGACAGGCTATGCCATTATGCCTTGTCTCATAGACTAGAAATGCCCCAGAAAAGCATTTGGTATGGAAAAGCATAACAGAACAACCAAATAAAATTCCATGCAGTCTGATGTGATAAGTATATTGCGTTTACTCCCGCCTCTACTCTCAGCAGTGATATTTCCCATCTCTTTTAACAGGTTCAGTACTTTTACAGTCAGAACAAAGTAGATACAAAATTTAAATTAGGTTAAGATAGAGTTCTGGGGAATACTATAAAGAAGATAGGTTATATCTCATAGCTAGAATGTATTATATCTAAAGTTGAAGGACTATAAACTTCACTAAATTTCTGTTGTTAAGGAAATGGACTGTTAAAAAATTCCATATACACTTCCCTGACTGTAAATGCTTAGATACATGTTGCCACCCAATACAGAGATTATATATCGCTAAAATATCCTCAATTACTAAACACTAGAGGAAGGCTTAAGAAGACATTAAGAATGCAAAATAGAGGGTAAATGCTTTACACTGATTTACAAGCACTGCCAGTGTTTTAGTCAGGGGGTCACTGAGTTGACCTATGATTTCATATAATGGACTAGAAAAATGGTAAAGGAGTCACTGAATGAACGGTAAGAAAGAAGGACAAACCAGATATAGGTGCACATAAGTCCTTGTAAGCATAGGTTAAATGGTGGCTATACGGGCATTCAGAATGGTCATTCACAAATCCTTGTCAATCAGTGGTAACAGCTAATCTAATAACAAAGCAGATTTACCAAAAATGAGAATTTGGCCCAGGACATTTTACCACACAAAAGGTCTCCCAAAGCTAAACTAAAAATGAAGAGACCTTTGGTACCCATGGCAGAGAAATTCCCTTCAGAACAGGGCAACCGTCTTGTTATTGCAGGCTGAGAGAAAGTCTCACGTGGCATCTCCTAGAGGCTTTAGAAATGTTCCTCAGTGAGTAAGTCAGTAGTGCACTTAGAATGCAGCCCAGAAAAATAAAACCTCAGTTTTACGATGTAACACATAGAGCCTCTTGCTTCAAAATTGTGTATAGGTTTTTCCAACACAAACGACAAGTAATTGCAAGAAAGAGAATTAGGAAGAAAGAAGACAAGACTGGGAAAAAGAGCTTGTCACATACTGGCCCCTCAGTATTACAAAAAGAACTTTGTAAAGTCATTACTACCTATTCATCCACAAAATAGGATGCTTCAGCATTGTCTCGGCCCCTTCTCCAGCAAACTAATACAAAGGGAAACTAAACATGCCTAAGCTACAACACTACAAATGTTTCTCTATTGGCTCCCATTTTTCTACAGGGAGAAATGGACTTAAGTTAGTCACTATGCATTACAGTCAGTATGTTATATATATTGCCTCTTTGAAGATTCTTTTAATCTGTGGAAAGCAGAAAGAAAACCATATCTACACATTGATTTTATACATTACTGCATTGACACAGCATTTTTAACTGCTAGGTATAATGCACCTTAAGATTCATCTGCCTTGGGTTATTAAATTTCCTGGATAAGTTAGTATACTATTGGCTGCTGGACTTAGGCTGGATAAGTCTACATTGATTCTCTCTCGAACCCAAGAGCTGTCCCCAAACTACACATGACTCCTGGTCTGTGGTGCACTCCCTCAGCAGTAGGTTTAATTGTGAGTCCAGCTCTCCTCTTTAATAGGTCCCATGTCTCCTGGAGAGCTCCTGCTCTAACACCCGACATCCCACCCACCCAACCCTGCCCCGTATTTCCATACCCATTTGCACATTCTAGATCTGGATTCTCCTAGGTTTAGAAGAGTCATACAAATGGTGTCATCACAGCAGAGGAATGGCGCAGTCCTTGGATAGCAGCGTAGGGCCCCTGCTGAAAGTAGTGATGGTACCGGGGCATGTGGAATGAGGGGAATGTCGGGCCACTCCCCTGCATGGAGCTGGCAATAGCTGATGGTGTCAGAGGCATCCCAAGTCGGCCATAGGGTGGCAACGAGCCCTGTATAGGGTGAGGAATGGGGGTTGCTATGGATGCTGTGCTGGTGCCCAGTGCAGTCAGGGGCTGGGGGTGCTGAAACCCGGGGAAACTGGATGAAGAGGACACCCAGGAGCTGAGAGACAAGTTCTCGGATGTTGTAAAGGCTGACCCTGGAAGGAAAAGAACTCATTAGACTAGGAACTCTATTTTAGTGCGCAAATCAAGAATTACATTATCTATAAGGACTGATTTATTTTTTTAAATATATAATAGATCTGCAATTTAAAAAGACAAGCTTGTCAACCATGAGTCACAGCTAACTTTCCAGGTAAGATATCATTTATACCATATATGGAAGAGAAAATTTACTAAATAGAAAAAGCCTTAACTCATTAGATGGTCTACATACTCCCAGAGAATGGCCAAAACACTAGAACCCTGCCTGGAAGTGATAACTGGATTCCCTTTAAAGGAGCCCAGATGGCTGCTATCTGTCCTGACCTCGACAACATGCCTGGAAGGTAGGCTGCACATACGAGCCTCAACAAACTCACTGGTTTCTAAAGGCATTGTGAAAACTCCCAAAAATGGTTTTCTTCTTATAGCTTCCATAATTCTTTATTAAATATTTGACAAATTGAGGGGCACCTGGGTGGCTCAGTTAGTTAAGCCACTGCCTTCGGCTCAGGTCATGATCTCAGGTCCTGGGATCCAGCCCCACATCAGGCTCTCTGCTCAAGCAGGGAGCCTGCTTCCCCCTCTTTCTCTGCCTGCCTCTCTGCCTAATTGTGATCTCTCTCTCTCTCTCTGTCAAATAAATATATAAAATCTTTAAAAAATACACTTGACAAGTTGCAAGAGTAAGATTTTCTTATATCACAGCATCCACAAGTTTAAACAAAAGTTGACACAATTTTCTAACTGTATAATTAATTACTAGTAGTCCATTTGGATTTAATTTCAAGAGATGTCCTGTATTTTGACAGATTACACTAATCCAAAAGGACATAAAAATTTGACAGAGGGCTCTGTCCCCACATGAACATCCCTGTGTTGAGGGTTAGGCACCTTCTGGACTCCCAGCTGCAAAGTGCTCCTCTGTGAGCCTTTGGGACAGAGGAACTTCTCAGTATTCCCCCACTGTCACCACTGGGGCCACTGCCTGTACATAGTGCCCTTCACTAGGAAAATCTTCTAAAAAGTGTTTTCTGGGGTACCTGGGTGGCTCAGTGAGTTAAGCATCTGCCTTTGGCTCAGGTCATGATCCCAGGGTCCTGGATTGAGCCCCACACTGGGCTCCCTGCTTAGTTGGGAGTTTGCTTCTCCTTCTCCTTCTGTCCCTCCCCACCCCTGCTCATGCACGTGTGAGCTCTCAAATTAATAAGAACTTTTAAAAAGTAAAGCAAAATAAAATAACTAAACGTGTTTTTCATTTTAGTCATCGATCCTAATAAGATAGTTCTGGAATATCTTGTAAGAGAAACAGATACAGTCCTTGATTTCAGATTATAAAATTGGGGTTCAGAAAGACTAAAGGACTGCTCCCAGAGCCTAACAGCTCTTTGGTGGTAGATCACAGACAAGTAACTCCTGAGCCCTGACTGAGAGGCTTGATGTCCTTTCACTAGAAAATCACAGGAAACCATCAGGTAGAAAAATTACTTAAGACTCTGAAGCAAAATAATGAGTTGTATGAAAATCAGCCTCAGGAGCTGTCCTTCCTCAAGAGACTCCTGAAATACTTTTGGGGCAGAATGCTCCCTGAGAACTACAAGTTTCATCACTTACTTTTCTTTCTCATTCTGGGTGCTCTTGCTCCCAGCAGTTACTCTGCCTGGTAGCTGTCTTACCTCGATTCTGTGTTGTCTGAACCTCATCCCCCAGCACATCCTCTTCTCCTCCATAGGTACGGATGGGTGAGCGGGCATAGGAATGCTTCTGGATCAGGCTCTCCACACTTTCCCTAAGTTAGAGAAGGACACATCCTGAATAAACTGCAAAGTCCTTGGAGATGAAGATGGGTCTGAAAGATAATTTACTAGTCAGTAAAACCATCTTCTCAGCCAAAAGATGCCCACTTCAGGGAAAGGAGACATTCAAAATATGCACATTTATGCCACTACAGACTCCTCAGAAACATGACCTCAGACGTGCAAATATAAGCAAATGTAACTGGATAGGATAGGGACAATCCCCAGAAATCCTACAACATGGAAGACAAAGAGGTGAACAAGGAACTGGAATGTAGAGTTTAGGAACATGCGAATGTAGAGTTTAATGATTTGAAAATTGAGGGAGTGAAAATCCTGAGGAGCTGCAACGACTCTTCTAACTTCATCAGCTAATGAATATAAAACAAAGACTTGACTGATACGAACTGCACTTACTCAGCATCTAATGAAATGCTGGCCAGAAGTTCAGAATGTCATTAGTCATAAAAAGACAACATTCACTAGTAAACCCAGTAAGCACACAAAGTATGTGACAATATGGGTAGTTGGGATAATGTACACTTTGAGATTCCTGTTGCTTTAAGACTGAAAATAACAGAAAATCTCTAAAGGACACATAAAATGGCCATTAGGAAATTGAAACCCCCCAAATAAATTGGTCCATTGACTTTGAAAGTGGTCTTCCTGTTGAAACATGGTCTAACAAAGAATGCAGTTAACTTTAAAAATGAGAATTATATTGGTATTGGCCCATTTGACCAGCTGTTGTTTTGTGGGGGGGGGGGGGGGGGGAAGCCAGCAAGAGTTTAGCCAAAGAATTCTCTGCAAAAAATGCAAGTTGATAGCAGATTACAGGCTTATATAGTATACATCTCTAAAATAGCTGTGGCTTAAAGATCAACATACCAAAGGACAGAAAAAAGAACTAAACAATTGAAAAAATTGTGTGTTGAATTTCACATTGAGGGGACAAGGAAAGCAAGTAAAATGTCACAATAGCTTTTCAAAATGTAACATCTGTCAACATTTCATATAGATATATAAACTTTACTGGTAAAAAAAATACTAACAGTGTATCTGGCCTTCTAGAAAACTTGTATACTCCGAAATGAAAGCATTTTGTCATATTATATAGCTTGCAAGTGAGAACATAAGGGTAAGCTTAAAAGAAAAGTTAATTGTAGCAACTATTCAAATTACATCTCCATTCCCAGGGAGTTTTAAAATAAGCATACAGTACCAACATGCAGTCAAAATGATTGGGATCCATATCCAATAAATTAACATACAGCTAGCTTAAAAAGTAAAAATATTTCCATATTTACTGATATGGAAAGAACTCTAATATATAGTAAGTGAAAAAAATACAGAAGATATATAGGCATAAAGTATGTTACCATTTGTGAATTTAAAACAAGGAATATATATGTTTGTATATGCGTAATACTTCTGGAATGTTCCAGTTTCAGAACAGGAAACTACCTAGAATAGGTCATCTCCATATGGTGGAACCAGGGATTTGAGGGACTGGAGCAATGTTTCCCAACCTTGTCTTGACTCTCAAATTTGTCCCAGTTCCACTTGAGTCCCCTGGGGCTCTTAACAAAGAAAAGCTAAATTGAGGTGTAATTAATATACAACAAATGGTATATATTTAAAGTGTCCAATTTGACCAGTTTGGGGCGTATGTGACCAGTGACACCACCACCATAAGTAAGATAACAAACACACCTAACACTGACAAAAGCTTCCCCATGCTTCCTGGTCCCCACCCCAACAAGTCTGACCGAGGAAACCACTAATAAGATTTCTGTTCCTACAGATTAGTTTGCATTTTCTAAAACTGTATGAAAATGAAATCCTATCTTATGTTTTCTTTTTTTTTCATGTTTTCTTTATTAATCTGGCTTCTTTCCACTCAGCATAAATATTTTGAGATCCATCATGTTGGAGCGCATTATCAATAATTGAATCTTATTCTGAGTAGTGCTGTGATCCAAGCTATAGTATGGACTATAGTTTACCTGTTCACCTGTTGAGCAACATTTACCTTGTTTCTAATTTCTGTTACACAGGAAGCTGTTACCCATACTCACGTAAAATTTTTTAAGTGGACATATGCTTTCACATCTTATTTTCTAAAAAGGTTTTTAGTTACCAAAAAGGTTTTTAATTACAAATTTCAAAACTATCAGTCTGAAACCATAAGAGACTCTTAATCTCACAAAACAAACTGAGGGTTGCTGGGGGGAGGGGGGTATGGAGAGGGTGGTAGGGTTATGGACATTGGGGAAGGTATGTGTTATGGTGAGTGCTGTGAAGTGTGTAAACCTCGTGATTCACAGACCTGTACCCCTGGGGCTAATAATAAATTATATGTTAATAAAAAAAAACTATCAGTTTCTTCTTGAATGAATTTTAGTAGTTTGTGTCTTCAAGGAATTTGTCCATTTCATCTAAATTATTGAAATTATAAGCTAAGTATTCATAATATTGCTTTATTATCCTTCCTTTCAGTATCTGCAGAATCTGTAGTGAAGTTACTCCTCTTTTTCCTGGCTATGGTAGCTTGTCTTCTCCCTTTGTTTCCTAATCAGTTTGGGTAGAGGACTGCCAATCTTAATATATCTACTTTGGTTTTGGTCCCACTGATTTTATCTATTGTTTTCCTATTTTTTATTCCACTTATTTCCATACTGATGTTTATTACTTCCTTTCTTCCACTTACTTTGGGTTCTTGTTTGTTTGTTCATCTTTCCTAGTTTCTTGTCATGAAGCTGCAGTCATGGATTTGAGATTTCTGTTCACTCCTACAGCAGGAATGTAGGGGTGACTCAGTCAGATAAGCGTCTGACTCTTGGTTTCAGATAAGGTTATGATCTTGGTGTTGTGAGATCAAGTTTGCATTGGGCTCCACACTCAGTGCAGTCTGCTTAAGATTCTCTCTCCCTCTGCCCTCCCCCTGCTTGCTCTAGTTCTCTCTCAAATAAATAAATCTTTAAAAAAATAAAAATAATGTGGGAATGTAGCCTATAAATTTCCTCTTTGTTTTAGCAGCATCCTCCAAGTTTTTATGGGCTATATTTTCATTTTCATTCAATTCAAGATATTTTCTAATTTCCTTGTTGATATCTCCCATGACCCTTGGGTTATTTAGACATATGTTATTTAGTTTCCAAATGTTTGGGAATTTTCCAGTTATCTTCCTGTTAATACTGCTTTCTAATATAATTCCATTGTGGTCAGAGAACATACTTTGTATGACTCAAATGCCTTTAAATTTTTGGGACCTGTTTTTTGGCACAGGGTATTGTCTATCTTAGTAAATGTTCTGTGTGCACTTGAAAACAAAGTATATTCTGCTGATGTAGGACAGAGAATTTTATAAGTGTCAGTTGGGTGAAGTTGGTTAACAGAGTTGATTAAATCTTCTATATTTTTACTCATGTTCTACTTGCTCTACAAGTTTTTGAGAGAGGAATAGTGAGGTCTCCAACTATAATTGTTTATTTTTCTATTTCTCCTTACAGTTCTGTCAGTTTTGCTTCATGTACTGTACTCTGAAGGTCTGTTAGGCGCATAAATATGTAGGACTGTATGGTCTCCTGATGAATTGAACCCTTTATAGGCATACCTCAGAGAGACTGTGGATTCAGTTCCAGACCACCCCAATAACATAAATATAGCAATAGAGCAAGTCAAATGAATTTTTTGGTTTCCTGGTACATATAAAAGTTATGTTTACACTACACTGGAGTCTATTAAGTGTACTATAGTGTTATGTCTAATGAAAACAATGTATATACCTCAATTAAAAAATAGTTCATTGTTAAAAAATGCTAACCCCATCTGAGCCTTCAGGAAGTAGTAATCTTTTTGCTGGTAGAGGGTCTTGCCTCATTGCTGATGGTGCTGACTGATCAGGGTGGCAGTGCTGAAGGCTGGGATGACTGTGACAATTTCTTCAAGTAAGACAATGAAGTTTGCCATATAGATTGACTCTTCCTTTCACAAATGATTCCTCTGGGGCATGTGATACCATTTGATAGCATTTTACCCACAGAAGAACTTATTTCAAAGTTGGAATCAATACTCTCAAACCATTACTGCTGCTTTATCCACCAAGTGTATGTCATATTCTAAATCCTTTGTTGTCATTTCACCAATCTTCACAGCCTCCTCACCAGGAGTAGATTCCATCTCAAGAAACCACTTTCTTTGATCATCCCTAAGAAGCACCTCCTCACCCATTAAAGTTTTATCATGAGCTCATGGCAATTCAATCACATCTTCAGGCTCCAATTCTAACATTAGTTCTCTTGCAATTTCTGCCCCATCTGCAGTTACTTCCTCCACTGAAGTCTTGAATCTTCAATCTGTAAAAAATGCAGCCTCTACAAATCACAACAAAGCGATGTGCAATGTAATGCAGTATGCCTGCTTCAGTATGAAATGATCTACTATATCCATGGTAAGTGCTTTCCTCTGAAATCTATGATATCAGTAGAGTTATTCCAGTCTTTCTTTTGACTAGTGTAAACATGGTATATTTTTTTCTATTGCTTTCTTTGAACTTGTTGCGTTTATATAAAAAGTGCATTTCTTAAAAGGCAGCATATATTGGGATTGTGCTTTTCAATCCAAACGGACAATCTCTCCCCTTTAATTGCGGTATTTAGTGCATATATATTTAATGTGATTATTAATATGGCTAGGTTGAAGTCTGTCATCGTTCTATTTGCTTCTTACCTTCCCATCTGCTATTTACCCTTTTCTTTTTTTGTCTTCTTTTAGGTAGCTTTATTCTTTCATTTCATCTCCTTTGTTCATTTATTAGCCATAACTTTTGTTATTTTAGTAGTTGACTTAGTATCATAGTAAGTATTTTTAACTTACTACAATTTACTAGGCAAATGATATGATACCACTTCAAGTATACTCAAGACTTATAATAATATATTTCCATTTCTCCCTTCCATCCTTTGTGCTATTTGTCAAACATTTTACTTTT